CAAAGTCGCTATTCCCTGGAGGTTCATTCCTTAAACGCCTCTCAAAGCCACACAAGAACGGATCCGCTGCCGAAGGCACAGCTTTGTGCTTGGAGGCTGTTTGCATGCTTAAATCCTACTTTTCAAATATATTCAGCTATTACCAGCAAGGATTAAAAACGCAAAGGATCTATTATTGGGTATCACCCTGCCAGAGGGAATTACACATGTACCTTCTCAGGCATAGTGAAATCAGAACGTGATCCTCGAGTGCTAAGCAGCGTTCCCTCTAAGCTGAGTTAGTGTGAGGTAGCTCACAGTTTTTTAGCCTCTGGCTCACACATTTTTATCTCAGCCCAGGAAGGAGGGCTCCAGAGCGAACTAATTTATGCAGTAGCCAAATCGCTCACTTCCAACTTTAATGCCAGTAGCCCACAAAGTAGAATTTTTGCTCACAAGACTCCGCAACTTAGAGGGAGCATTGGTGCTAAGAAATGTTCGGAAGGTTTCATGGCTGCTTTGCCAAGGATGTTAAAGAAACGATTTTGTCAGGTCAGGGGTTCTCAAACCACGACATAACTGTTCTTTCCATTTAGTGATGCATTTGGGAGAGTTAGTGATTGGGCGTGCAACATTTCATAAGTTCCGTACTTCTTGATCAACTAATAAGGTCCTAAATAACTGGGAAATAGATTTTTTTTTAAAAATCTAGTCCAGTAGCACCTTAAGTCCAACACTTCCGAGATATAAGCTTTCAAGATTCAATACTCACTTTATCAGGTCTACGGGACTCGAACCTTGCTCTGCGACTGCAGACCAACATATGGTTTCCCCTACCTGAAACTAAAGTAAATCTACAGTCCAAATCCAGTGATCCCCTCGAGCGAGGAGTTCCCCCAATGGTCTGACCTGTCCTCTGACATGACAAAAGGCCTCCTTAGCAGAAGGGAGCTGATGGATCCAACCCATTATTTTTTGATACAAGTACCTACAGAAACGGTAGATGATAAATCCTTGCTCACAAGTGGCACTCCTCCCTTCTCTAGTGTCCCTTCTCTAGTGCACAAGAGGGAATGCTTATTAATGGCTTGGGGCTCTTTAGCTTGGAGAAACAACGACTGAGGGGTGACATGATTGAGGTTTATAAGATTATGCATGGGATAGAGCAGGTCGAGAAAGAGGTACTTTTCTCCCTTTCTCACAATACAAGAACTCGTGGGCATGCAATGAAATTGCCGAGCGGTTGGGTTAGAACGGATAAAAGGAAGTACTTCTTCACCCAAAGAGTGATTAACACATGGAATTCACTGCCACAGGAAGTGGTGGCCGCTACAAGCATGGACGGCTTCAAAAGGGAATTAGATAAGCATATGGAGCAGAGGTCCGTCGGTGGCTATTAGCCACAAGGTATGGATAGGGACTCTGGGGCAAGTGATGCATTGTATTCTTGGTGCTTGGGGGGGGCAATGGTGGGAAGGTTTCTAGTGTCCTGGCCCCACTGGTGGACCTCCTGATGGCACCTGGTATTTTTGGCCACTGTGTGATAGAGTGTTGGACTGGATGGGCCTTTGGCCGGATCCAACATTGGCATCTCTTATGTTCTTATAGCCTGCTATGACATAGACATGTCCCTTCTAAAAATGAAAGTATCCTCTTTCCCCCCAGAATCTTTAAAAGACTTATATGGAAATATTACTTAATGCATCAGTTTAGAGATGAAAATTCATATGATTTATGGTCTGTCTTTAATTGGATGACAGCACAAATATTGGGACCCTCTTTAAAATCTGAGGTGGTTTACAAAGATGATATATAGTTCTGGACATGATCCATCCTGTCTCCACATATGCAGCTGTATACACAAGAAGGAATATGTACTCAGAGCTGAGCCATGTGTAGAGGGGTCATGTGTAGGAGGCTAATATCTTAGAACTTTGTGGATCTCTGGCCTACTAAACACTCCTCACCCTATTTGGCCCTCATTATATACTTCATTTTCCCAAGTCCCACAGCTATGATGCACCTTAATTTATTTACTTCATGTATATACCCAGTGGGGACACAAAGCAACTCACGTCCTTCACTGGTCCTCCATTTTATCCTCACAATGACCATCTGAGGTAGGTTATGCTGAGAATGTGTTGGTTGGCCCAAGATCACCCAGCAAGCTTCCATGGGAGAGTGGGGATTTGAACCTGGGTCTCCCAGATCCTAGTCCAACACTAACCACTACACCACACTGGCTTTTGCCAGTATAATCCATCCCTCCTGGGGTTCTGGTCTCTTCTCTCTACAACGCTCAGTAAGCTCGTTCCTCAGAAACTTGAGGAACTGTTGCTGTTCATCCATGTTCATCACTCCCTCGTCCTAAGATGTTTGAACTTTTCGTCTACCTGCCCATTAGGGTTGCCAGGTCCTACTTTCATGTTGGCAGGGGGATTTGGGGGTCATTCCTGGAGGGAGCAGAGATGTTGCAGAACTTACCCAGTGTGATGACATCACACGGAAGTGATGTCATCACGTCAGGGACATAGCACAGCGACACTCTACTTTTGGGGCAAAACTCTATGATAAAATTGCCCTCAAACCATAGAGTTTTGCCCAAAAAGCAGAGTGTTGCCAAGTGACATCGCTGTTTGGGGGTGGGGTTTTCTCCACCAGCTAACGTAGAGTTACCAGCCTCCAGGTGGGGCCTGGAGATCTCCTGCTTTTACAACTGATCTCCAGCTGACAGAGATCAGCTCCCCTGGAGAAAATGGCTGCTTTGAAGGGTGGACTCTGTGGTATTGGATCATGTTGAGGCCCCTCCCTTCCCCAAAGCCCACCTTCTCCTGGATCCACCCACAAAGTCTCCAGGTATTTTCCAACCCAGACCTGGCAACCCTAGGCAAACTGGCCGGCAGTGGACAGAAACCCCAAAAAGTGGGGGATCCCCCACCCCATCTTGGGGAATGGGAACCCTACTGCCCATGCTTCTCTTGTGTGTTCCTTGGTCCCTCCTTCCACTAGCAGAAGCCCAAGGACCATGGATGGGGGAGCACTGAATAAAGTTCCTCCTTTTGACAACTATATTGAAAATGTTACCCCTTATGGAGTACTGCCTTAGGCGACCAATCAGAAAGCTTAGACGCCTGGGAGAGATATTTTCAAAAAAAAGTGTGATGAACTGAGGGAAATGTTAATGGCTAAGCTTCTTCCTGACACATCAAAGTCAGCTGCAAGAACATTGATAAGAAAAAAATGAAAATTATCATCTGTTTACCATTATGCATTTCCCCAGGATGTACTGTGCTTTCATCTCTTTGAAATTTTATGGCTTCTACTATAAATAAGGTGATATCTCCTAATTAATATTGATAACTGAGCATGAAACACAACACACATGAAATTTTCTTCCATGATGGGTAAAAATTTCACTTTGTTTTAGATACCTGTATGGGAGCAGGTTCTGCTTTTGGACTCAAGAAATTTGGGATCTACATATGCTACAAAATGTACCTCTTGTATAGGTTTGTGTCCCATGATACATTCTAGGTTACAAATGCAGTTCCTGACACTGCACTAAAATGGGTGAGCACAATTTAGGTGTGGTTCAACATCTGACCTATGTGATTCCCGTTAGCATTTCTTAGACCATTTGGGAATATTCATTATTAGATTTCGTGATTAAAGTTGGAATAATAAGCTTTATCTCCCATGGGGAACCCCCAGGTACTGATATCACCATTGTCTTGCCAAATGTATGCAGTACTTTATTGCCTGTCAGGGCTCTTTTTGTAGAAAAAGCCCAGCAGGAACTCATTAGCATAATAGGCCACACCCAATAGCAGGAACCCATTAGCATATTAGGCCACACCCCTGACAGCACAGCTCATTAGCACATTGGGCCACACCCCCATGTTACCAGAAGTGTGGTTATCCAGCCACACCCACCTTTTGCTTGTTATTCTATTTACCTTGTTTGTTGTCAAAACCCAGGGCTTTTTTGTAGCAGGAACTCCTTTGCATGTTAGGCCACACACCCCTAATGTAGCCAATCCTAATGAGTTTCTGCTGTTGGGTGTGGCCTATTATGCTAATGAGTTCCTGCTGGGCGTGGCCAACTTGGGAGCCTGCCGGAACTCCATTCCTGTGCGTTCCTGCCCAAAAATAGCCCTGTTGCCAGTAAATATCTCTGGATTGGGACTAGGGTTGCCAGCTCCAGGTTGGGAAATTCCTGAAGATTTCGGGGGTGGAGCCCAGGCCTGTAGCTACAGTGGGACATCTCGGGTCTAGGCCCCCTGACTTCCCATCCAGCCCAGGGCCCCCGAGCGGCAGCAGGTGCAGGGAAGGAGCCGGGTATTCCTTTAATTTGATTAGCCAGTGCCCCCCAAAAATCCTGGCTATGGGCCTGGTGGAGCCTGTGGAGGGCAAGGTTTAGGGAGGAGAGTTACTTCAGAAGGGTATAAGTGCTACACAGTCCACCTTCCAAAGCAGCCATTTTCTCCAGGTGAACTTAACTTTGTCACTTGGAGATCAGCCGTAATCCCAAGAGATCTCCAGCTACCATCTGGAGATTGGCAACCCTAACTGGGACACAATGCTACAATGCTGTTCACATCCAGGCCCTGCCCCCCAGTCAGAATCCATAATTTGTTTAGAAATCGTTTCCACAAATTCTGAAAATTATTGATGACTGATGTAAATTCCAGCTTACTAATTGCTCCAGGACCACTTATCACTCTGAAGCTCACATGAAATCAAAGGTAGACAGATGAGTTGTACCATTTTGCCATTAGAAACAGTTCTGAAAACAATCCTCAAACTTTTTTTAAGCATCAACATCTGAAATATCAAAACACTCTGGATAAATTTTTTTGAAACAGAGTTCATTTCCTCCCATTTACCTGGCAGGATTGCCAATCATAAAACATGCATGCCAAAATCTAACTACCTAAATCACACCAAATCCAAGCAAGTGTTTCATCCTTCTTTCAATCAAACTGAGGTTGCAATCCTGAATGTACCAAAACTCTCCTTACCTTGTGATAACATCGGAAGTAAGCAGCACGCTCATCTGAAAATTTCTCTATCCTTTTTGGCCCTTTGCTTGATGCTTTCTTGAAAACCAGCCAACATCGCTGATAAATCTGGAAACACAACACATATCATTTTAGATTCTCTCCCTGACTTGACTACTGTCAACAATAATTTTAAAATATGTTCCTTTCTACATTTTATACATACAGTGATTTACAGGCCAAAGGCCATCAATTTCCTGGTTTTCTGATTATTTAGAGTAGGTTTGACAAGTCTGGTTTGGGCAATTCCTGGAGTTTTGGGGGCCATGCTTAAAAAGGACAGAATGCAGAGAGAGAAAGGTCACTGGAGATGGGATGCCATATAATTGGCCTTCTTAAACTTAAGCTATCATTTCCTCCAAGAAGAACTGATCTCTGTAGTCTGGAGGTCACTTAGAAGAAGAAGAAGAGATTGGATTTATACCCCGCCCTTCACTACCCAAAGGAGTCTCAGAGCGGCTTACAAACTCCTTTCCCTTCCCCTCCCTACAACAGACACCCTGTGAGGTGGGTGGGGCTGAGAGAGCTGTTGACAGAAACTGCTCTTTTTCAAGAACAGCTGTGCCAGAGCTATGGCTTGCCCAAGGCCATCCAGCCAGGTGCAAGTGGAGGAGTGGGGAATCAAACCCGGTTCTCCCAGATTAGAGTCCGCGCACTTAACCACTACACCAAATTTATAATTCCAGGAGGACTCTGGGGCCCCACATGCAGGTTGGCAACCATAATTTAGAGTTTTTAAAAAATTACAGAATGGTGCTAGCTGAGCTTTGCCCAGGAAGACACATGTGTCGAGTTGCCAGTTTTCTCATACAACCAAAGCTTTTGGGTCAGTTACCAGAAAATCTAGGCTCAAGACAAGTTCCTTCTCACTCCTGCTTTTTTTTTTTTTTTTAAGCTCACAGGTCTCCATCAATCTGTAGGGGGGAAATTGTGCATGCAAACAGTTGCAATTTAGATTAGGGCCATGAAGGAAGGGACAAGGAGATTTATCCTTTGAAGCCCTGCTTGGCTTTTCTCCCTGTGCTATTGGGGAGGGGGCATATCTTTTTAAAGGCTGCATTTTCCCCTGATTTTGCATAGTAATATTGAACAGGCCTGAAGGGTTAAAAATCCCTTCTTCTCTTCTCCCATTGCCTTCCCCCCATTTAAATTGTAGCTGCAGGCACAGAGAACTGGCTACTCTTCTGTTTTGCAGACCTTCCGATGAAGACCCGTAATCTAAGGTAGCCAGCCTCCAGGCAGTGGCTGGAGATCTCCAGCTATTATGACTGATCTCCAGGCAACAGAAATCAGTTCACCAGCAGAAAATGGCCACAAGTGGATTCTATGGCATTGAAGTCCCTCCCTCTGCAAACCCCACCCTCCTCAGGCTCCACACACCCCAAAAATCTCCAGATATTTCCCAATCTGGAGCTGGCAACTCTACCATAATCTTCATCATCACGTTTGAATCCTTAGTTAACAGACAGTTCGTGCACTGGGCTTTGTCTGCAGTCCTACAAAATACCATTGGTCTCGACCTCCTCCTGATATTATATAGGGTCCACCTGTGGGCTACGTTTGCCAACCTCCAGATGGGGCCTGGAGATTCCCTAGAATAAAACTGATCTCCAGACTACAGAGATCAGTTCCCCTGGAGTAAATGGCTGCTTTGGAGGGTGGACTATGGCATCTCATCTCTGCTGAGCTCCCTCCCCTCCCCATTGTCCCCTCTCCCCAGACTCCACACCCAAATCTCCAGGAAGTTTGCTAGCTGCAGTTGGCAACTCTAATCCATCCCTGATCTATCAGACTCTTCTTGCAGTTGCTTTTGATTTCACTGACTTCTTTGTTTCAAAAGTAGACAGCCCTGTGCCTGATTTTCTTGGAACTCCATCTTTGTTTCCTTGCTTGGTATGCTTAATTATCACTTATTTGTTGACAAAATTTATATCCTGCCTTTCTGCCCTTACAAGGACCACCAAGGGGGCAAAGAACTGAAAACAAGCATGATAAAACCACATTTTAAAATTATCAAAATCAACCCTCGCGTGCACACTTACATTATTAAAGCAATTAAAAACAGAGCTAAAATACATATGAAATGTAAACACAGCTATTAAAACACTCGTTAGGAAGGAGGAATCGGTAATAGCACAGAGATAATTTTTCAGACACTTTTCAACGTACACAATTCCTTAATATCCCTTGTGTCATCTAGAATATCTGTATGGTGCGGTTTGGAGTTGGCGCTAACTCACTGGTAGAGCATCTGTTTTGCATGTTGTTAGTGCCCTGAACAACACTCATTTGCACTCTGTGAGCACTCAGGAAAATATGGTTAGCTATAGTTCATTCTGTTATTCTTCAGCTGATGTTCATGCTTTACATTCTTAGGTGAGAAACAGAAGGACAACCCAAATTTGCTTTAGGATAAATATCTGCATGTCCACTTTCAGAGCAATTGTGATACATTAATGCAAGACACTCTTATATCCAAATGGCTTTTAAAAGGAATTTTAAAAGCTACATTTAAACCTTTAAAAGCTTGTGGACCATGAATGCAAGGTCTGGCTTTGTGTTTGTTTGCTTTTAATTCAATTTAATTATGAAACAAACAAATACAATGCAATATACTATTAAAGGAGACATAGATTTAACAATCATGTGAAAAGGAACCTATATTTGGAGGGGATCTCCCCACCTGTATGTCATTTCATTCCCTCCAAATAAGAGGCATTGTCCAAAAAGTGAGATTACTTAAAATCTGAATCTGTAGGTGTATAGAAATATTGCTTTAAAAATTCACAGGCCTTCTCCTGTGATGACATTCTGATGACATGTTGTGTCTTTATTTCCTGTTGCAGGACAAATGGTGAGGCCAGATGGCCTGAGCAACTTAATAGCCATGCCATATACCCACATTCCTTCATACCTTTATGCTAAAAGCTAGACTTTAAGGCTCCACACTAGGGCACATGGCCCATGTCACGTACACAATGGAGAAGCTGGAAGCTGGGTCACCTGACTGCAGGCGGGCCCCAAACTCCTAGCAGCTATGACACACACAGCTATGGCAACCAGAAATTGGGCACACACCCTGTCCGCTCATGATTGGCTGATGGCCACAGCTAATTATGACTGGGCAAGGGACTATAATTCCGTTGGTCTCTATGGGAGAGAGCTCTCTTCGCTCTCTTCTCTCCTTCTACCATTGCTTGCTTTATTGCACCTGGAATGCTGACTCTTGGAACAAAGAGCAACCTTTTTGTTACTGTGGATCTGTATCTCTAAACAGACTGAGACTACATATCTGTGCAAGATGGGATTTCTCTTCAAAATCCCTTGGTGTCTAACTGTACTACATACCTTGGACTATCTTGGACTGTTGGATGTTCCTGAATTTGGTAACTATGAATCTGCTTAAATGTGTAGTAAGGGCAAATAGCCATAGGCTTTGTTATTTTGTACCCTTTAGTAGTCTTCTTGCTATGCTTTGTACTAAATAAAGATCATTCTTATTTCTAATTGTGTCTGATGGTGTAACTGAGCTCCAAGGCTAAATCTCGTGTCTACCGCTGACCACACAGAACTACCTTTGTGAGAGTACATAGTGTGCACCTATGGTTAGAGTTACTAATGTGTTAAGTCCCAGATGCCAACTAAGGGATTGAATCTCTGCCCTTAGGAGGCGGGGACTCTTGTGAAGAGATTCTGGTGGCAAATTGTTGTGAAGACCAGAGATGGTATAGACTGTCTCGTGGATTGTTGTTTAATGTGCTGAAATACTGGATTCCCTCTCACTCCTGGATTGGGTTGGGTGGGTTAATCCTGTACAGTAGTGTTAACTATTACTGAGATCTTCTCCATAACCATAAGGTCCCAAGTTTTAACCTCCCCAAGGTTAAAGATGGAGGTTTATCCTGCTTCCAGTTTGCTGCAATACATAATTGTGCAATCGCCAATAAAGCTGAAATGAGCTTAAGCTTTGGTGTATCAATATCCTTAGAGCCAGTTTGGTGTAGTGGTTAGAAGCACAGACTCTAATCAGGGAGAACCAGGTTTGATTCCCCACTCCTCCACTTGCAGCTGCTGGATGACCTTGGGCAAGCCATAGTTCTGTCAGAACTGTCCTTGAAAGGGCAGTTCTTGAAAGAGCTCACTCAACCCCACCTACCTCACAGGGTGCCTGTTGTGGAGAGGGGAAGGGAAAGGTATTTGTAAGCTGTTCTGAGACTCCAAGTGAAGGGTGGGGTATAAATCCAATCTCTTCTTCTTTTTCCGTGACGGTAAATCCAATTATAACTATTTGGTATCTAGCTCTAACTTTACATTACAGATCTTATGAATCACTGTAAATACTTTGCTCCAAAACCCTTGAATGGTTGGGCATTGCCACCAACAATGATAGAGAGATCCCACCTGTTTACATATTTTCAGACAGACATCTGGAATCTTTCTACAGAAATGATGCAACTTTTGTGGGGTAAGATACCATCTTGACCAAATTTTGAAAGACAGTTTGAATATTTAATGTCTCTGAGATGAATGCATAGGAGGCCAATGTTAGCTATGCTGCCATAATGTTTATAGACTTGAGTTCAGTTGCTTGACCTGTGTACCAGTTGCTGCTGCATTCCTTCTTTGCTTCTGTAGTGCTTTATTATCAATGACCTTGGAGTTTGCTGGTGCGGTGTCTGGACATCATGTAGTCGTGGGATCACTTTCAATTCCCAGCTTCGGCTCTAATGGTCTGGGGCCCTTCTCCCACATGCGGGAGTCAGGCCAACTGGCCTATGGATAGGGGGTGCATACGAATACCCTATATCCCATTGTGCTTGTAGAAATGTCGACATTCCTAACAGTGACCATGTTAATGCATCTATAGTGTTCAGTTGCTTGACCTGTGTACCAGTTGTTGCTGCATTCCTTCTTTGCTTCTGAGGTGCTTGATTATCAATGACCTTGGAGATTGCCGGTGCGGCTTACAAACTCCTTTCCCTTCCCCTCCCCACAACAGACACCCTGTGAGGTAGGTGGGGCTGAGAGAGCTCTTGACAGAAACTGCTCTTTTTCAACGACAGCTCTTA